CCCTCCTCTCCCCATCCGCCCCCCAAAAAACATAAGTTCTGAAGAAAAATATAAAGAACTTTTGTTTAGAAAATCCTGATAATCAGTGTTTTGGCATTTCATAAGCAAAACTATTTTGTTCCCAAAATGAAACACTTGATCTTTCTCAAAAATTCTCTACTTATTTCTTGGATAAAACGATCTGCAAACAGTTTTGTCCTCTTTGCAATACCATTGTTTTAGCAAAGTTATCATTTATTCCTCAAATTCTCTGGATTCTATTCAGAATTCCTTCCAACTTAATGCTTTCTTCAGAAGCCTGTGTTCATCCATTTTCATTCTGGATCATTAATCCCAGGACCAGATTTAAACTAGTCCTAGCACTAACTCTAACATCAACACTAGCATTAGCCCATATTCCAGTTCCTCAGAAGCAAGACTAGGTTTTTCCAGCCTTTTTCATCAGATCAGGTTACTCTACTAAAGTGATACCTCTTCTTTCTTGTAATGGGGAAGAATATGTGAAACATTGCTTCCTGTTTCTTTTTTTCTTTTTTTTTCCTTTGTGTATTACAGCATCCTCTCTGCCTCTGATTCCAAAGGCAAGGAATGCTATACTCATACAATCTCCAGTCTTAGGAAAAGAATGAAGAAAAGCTACTACCTAAAGTTATTTGGTCCAATTCCAATTAACTGGAGTTTTACCTAGGTAATAATGAAGCAAAGCCCTGTGAGACTATCCTCTGTGCCATTTTTAAAAGGAGAAAGAATCAGAATGTGGGCCTTATCAGAAGCATCCCACCAATGGACGAGAAGAAAGACATCCAAAAATGTATCCTCTTTACCTTGCTTGTCTCCAGTGAGAACCCATATCTTAATGCTGGCTTTGGCAAGAGTCTCAATCGTCTGTGGGACTCCGTCTTGTAACTTGTCCTCAATCGCTGTGGCACCTAGAAGCTTAGCAGGAAATGGGGAACCTGTAAGTCTTCCCATCACTAGCAAATGAAGAACACCAGACCTTCATGCAATTACTCAAGCAATACACAAACTTTCATTATTATACAATTATTGCTTTTTCTGCATTTGGAGACATTTGCTGGCTTTAACCTATTCTGAAAAGGACATGAGGCTCTGGCTGCTAGCTCAGGTTTAGGCAGCATCTGCCACCACCTACCTCCTGCTGTTGGAGGACTAAATTCAGCATTTGGCTTTCATGCTGAGGTCCTTTTTTGGCTTCCTGAGATGTTCATAATTCATCTGATTAAAAGTGTTATTAATGCACACAACAACTCTGAGGGAACTTCTCTAAATTCAAACTCAAAGCCCTTCTGGGCTTTCAATCTAGGATCTCAAAGCTTCATAATCCACTATGTACATCAGTTGTCCATGGGCCAGCTTCCAAAAGCTTAAATGCTTTTAGCACACAAACCACCTCTTGGGATCACCTGCTCATCCCTGGCAGCCCTATGAGTCTGGGTTAGAAGCCCAAAGATGGACACACGTCTAATATGCTCAGGAACACAGAATGAGGGTTTATATGCTCCACAGATATCGTCTTTCTGGAGCTGCAGAAAAACACAATAGCACTGTTGTATCTGTGAGTGGGCGCTGAGAACACAGACAGGGATGCTACGAGTTATGCCAGGCCTTTGCCTGTCTGCAAATGCCTTGGTATAAGAACAGTTGGAGAAATGAGCATGCTCCCTTCCATACTGTGGCTCTTCCTTATTTCTTCGGAGAGTCAATGTTAAATTGTATTTTTGTGTTATTCAAGGCTCATTACATAATCATTTAATCCCTGTTCCATCATGCTGCCTTTATCTCCTAACTTCTTCTAAAGATTCCTAGGATTAAACTCAGGGACTCCTATTCTTACTGTCAACTAGACTGTGATACTTGGCAGTTCTCTACACATGCATCAAACCCTGCAACTTTCTTCCTGACACTGTTCTTTAAACCCATTCTCTGCTACAAGTCAGGCTTTCTACACCCACTCACTGTCCCTTCCTGCAGCACCTTCCGAAAGCAAAGCCATTCTTGTACAGGGTACAGAGAATGCAAACAGAATCTAATGCAATGCAAACAGAAGCACTCTCCTGAATCACACTGCAAGCCCATGACCTCTTCTGAACTCAAACCATGAGCTTCATAGTCCTTTCTTGCAAAGCAGGTGGCTCCTTAACCCCCCAAATCTCCATGTCTTTCACACTTTGAACATAACATATAAGGTATTTGTGTGTATTCTCTGGACAACTTGCACTTTCCATCGCTGTACTGAGACCGAGGAGGGCAGCAGGCTTTGTCCTACGTACTATGCAATTCCCACCTGTCTCCAAAGGTTGGCCACTTCTGGCTCATACTTCTGCACAGGCCCTGAACGTACAGCTAATGGAAGGGGCAACAGTACAGCTCCCAGGGTTTCCAAGATTTCAGGAGAGCACCGCTTTGTGTGCAAAAGCTGAACTACTTCCCCTCAGATCCCATACATCTTGTCTACATCTTGTCCTTTTCATTCATTATTCATGGTTCCAAAACACAGGCAACCCTGTGGCATTCCAAAAACTGTAGTAATGTTCATGGAGAAAAGAATGACTTCAAGATTACAGCTTAGTCCGATTTCAAACTGACACAAAAAACTTCATGGACATCATCCTCCATCTTGCCTAGGGCTGCAGGAACAAAGACAACACTCTTTGAAATGGAGGAGGACCTGGGGATTATTCACTGCCTGCCATTTCAAAGACAGAAGAATAAATACATCAGCCATTTGCATGTACAAAGGATAGCTACGAAATATTTGCGTCTCTGTCATTTCCCTTACTCTCTGGTATGCTGCTTCATCATAGAAAGCTACTCTGATACCCTTGTGAGTTAAAATAAAACTGTTCCCATGCGCTGATGTCTGACACCCCAGTCACAGGCTCCTCACAGAGGTGCCAGTGAAAACTCAGGACTGCCTTGTTCCAAAGCACTCCAGGCACGTAATCTACCAGCCTGTTTGCAGAAAAATGTTTACTGAAGTCATACTGAGCTGTTTATTGATGAACTGCTATCCTTGCCACCTCCCCCAGAGCTTGGCCCAGATTCCATGAAATACCAACCATTAAATCTTTCTCAATCTCTTCATACAACTCGGACAATTTATCTTCCCTTCCTTCCAAGGCAGTGCTTGCAACATGGTGACGCCTGATCCAGTCCTGAAAGTATTTTTCATCCAAGTTTTTATAGGCCACAACAAGTGTTCTCAAACCTTCACCAGCGAATTCCTGTGAGACAGTTGTGAGGCAAAAGAGGTCAAAGAAGAACAGTCTCCTCATTCAGGGTTACCAAGAACTCTTTTTAAAAATGCCCATTTTCTTTCAAACTTCTTACCTAAAGTCTACAAAGGTAAGGTGAAAAATCACCCCACAAACTTGAGGGTATTTTTAATAACTAGTTCTACATCACTTTATAACTGACAGTTGCTGTTCTTACAGACACCAAATTCAAAAGGGATTTCGTATGTTTTCACTCCAAAGCTTTACATTAACAAAACAAGTCTTTTCCCTTGTTGATATTTCTCAACAGCAGATTCAGAAAAAAGAAAGAGAATAACACACACTGAGTGCAGTCTTGAATTGAAATTGAGCAGTGTTCATAGGTGCAAATGCTGGTCCAAGTGCTTGTTTAGCATGAGTACCATGAGTCACGATAGCAAGTCCTTGTAAGTACCCTTTCTGAATATGCTTAACTGGAGATATGAATCTCAGTGCTTGGTGGGTAACAGAGAACTCTTATTTCCTCCTTTCTATAATAGAAGATAAAATTTCTCTCTCCTTGTGGGCTCTGAAAGAATAGTTGCATAAGGAACCAGGGACATGGACATTTTTCCCGTGCTCAGCCCCCTCCTTCATCATCAAGTCTCTTGACTCCCTCAAGGCAAAAGGGCAGAGATGTTTGTACCATTACAAGCTCTCCATCCAGGCCTACCATTACCTTGTGCTTTGTACCAACTCACAAGGGAGTAAATAGCACCCACTTGTGTAACTACTTCACAGTGTGCACCATCAACAATGTAAGGTTTGAAAACTCCCATGAAAAATAATAACCCAAATATGGTGTTTGGGACTGCTTTTGAGTTTTGCTTTTCTTCTAAAAGCAAACTGCATCTCCAGAACGGAGAAGGGCATGATAGAGGTTTGAATACATGCACAAAAGGGAACCATCAAATGTGGAGTCGTGGCTGTGCAGAGGGAAGCACTTACATTCAGGTGTTCTGTTGTCTCCTCTTTGAGAGAATCACAGGATGAATGAAGCAATTCATAAAGAATGGTGTCAGCTCCCTTGCAGTACAAAGTCAAGTCACCTTCTGGACTCCGCACTAAAAGCAACATAAATAATAAGATAATCAGTACTCATAGCACTTGCATGTAATCAAATAAAAGTTTTAGAGACATCCTTACTCTGAATGTGCATTGGCAAATTGCCACAAATTGAGATAAACTTTGCTTAGAACAAAAGCTAATGTAACTACCCTCGGTGCTAGTGGTAGCAGCATAGACAACAGTTTCCAGACTACTCTGATCTGAGCAGATGCTCTGTTAGACTATGTGGTTCCTACAGACAGTATCTCAAGAAGGACATGTTATGTTCGAAAGACAAAAACTGTGTGTTTTCAGAGAAGCAGTCCTGCTGCCAGTAATGATACTGCCACTCTCCCTTAACAGTTATGCCATCCTAGGCCCTAAAGTATCTGAGGACATTTCAAGATTAATAAAGACTACAATAGGTTTCTCGAATTGTTGCTCCATCTCCCTTAGTTGGAATTGGATATCTCTGCTTGGCTTTGCTTTCTCAATTCCCATTTCCTCAGCTTTTGCTGGTAATTTTGAAGCTGACTGGAAGGAAACAGGTTCCTGCTTTGTTATGAAGGAGGTGAGATGAGAAGAAAGCCTAGTGTCTTCAGAAAGTTGCTCCATCATTGTAGAGCAGCTGTGAAGATGCCTTCCACCTACTCAGGTTATCTAGCACTGTTGCTGTGTCACTGAACAGTTGGGGATGCCCAGCTCAAACAGTCAGAAGTAAATGTTAATCAGAAAGTGATACAAAGGGGTTGTTCTTGAGAAAGGCATCAAAGCAGAACAAGGGCAAAACTTGAGAGCATAAAAAGTCAGGAAGGAAAGAAGGGAATGAGGGGGACATACCAATAACAGACATTCGCTTGCGCACATTGTTGAAATCAAGAATAGCCAGCAGCTTGTAGGTTTTTGTTTCTCCCATTTCCACCACTGTGATGGTCTCTGGTGTACGAGCCCGAAAAACAAATCCAAAGTTTCTGGCAGCAGTCACAAGGGCTCCCTCATCAGGAGATTGGGCCTGATACACCAAGTTACCTGGCATGCAATGAAAAAGAAAAAACTTACATCATTTCTGCCTTGCTCCTGAGGCTAAACAAATACAAGACCCAAGAATCTCCACAGCAGTTAGCCATCTGCTCTCCTGTCTATGCAAAGTAGCAGCACTAAAAAGCACCTTGTGATCACAACTCTCCATACAGTTCCATGCACCCTATTCTCCAGGGCAGTGGAAAAGAGATCCTAGCTTATTTTTAGAGCCTTTATCACTTTCTTCAGAGTCCAACAGATCTCGGTGGGAGGGCAATTTCCTTGGGTTACCAACTTTTGGTTAAACCCACGTTTGTTTTTCTCATCAATATTTTGAACTTACATGTATTAATGGTTCTAGCCTTTAAAGCACCAGGAAAGATGGAACTTCATCCTAACAGACCCAGTACTTGCAGGAACACTGAATAAGAAGAGGTAATGAGTTCCCAGTGGGTATGTGCCATATGCATTATTCGTTATACCAAGTGGTGCAAAGTAAAGGCAGAGTGAGGTAAAGCATCTACCATCTTCTTGGGGAAGCTGTGGTGAGGGCAGTTGCATTAGTATCATTCCACCACAGGAACACATGGGGAGTGGGTCACTGGGACCTCTGAAGACACAGATTTGCATGCAGCCATATTCTACAGAAAATCACCAGGGAGTCAAAAGGACCAGTAACAGCTTCTGTGGAGAAAGGACATATTGTGATGCAGAGTGGACATCAGCCACTCAGTCTGGTGCCTTCAACAGTCCTCACCTTCCTCCTTCTCTTCTGGCATCACTGTATGACAAAGTGAGAGCAGCCGGAAGAATCTGTGCGTGGCGTCATCATTCAGCTTCACTGCTTCAACCAGGCTGTGGTCATAGAAGACAAACTTTGGGTCGGCTAACTGGTTGTATGAGAAATCAACCTTCTCTGTGTTCTGCAAAAAATATTGTTCAGCATTATCTGTAAAGTCTCACATCTGTGTATGCCAGTGACCACCCACCATGGCCCCCTCTCTTTCTTACTTTTACAAAAATCCAGCTCTTATAGCATTATTCACAACACAGAATAATGAACGTGAATAAATGGGAAGCTGTATAAGCATCACAGAACAGCACAGGCACTTGAGGTTCCTTTCAAAGCAGTACTCTGACTGATAACCTGATTAGCTAAAGATACTTCATGTACTAAACAAATGCTCCCACGAGCAGCTCACTAAAGGACTTCTGTACTGCAGAAATGCCTCTCTTCACAACACATGCCTGTTTGGAGCCATTTTGCTCCAATTTCAATGTTTGTCAGCAACAGGAGAATGTAGAGGCCCAATTTAAAATAATTCAAAAGGCAGTGTTCCCCACCTTATCCTCTCACAGCAAGAAAAAAAAAAGATGTGGAAAAGGATGGCAGACAAGTGATGTAAAGCTTCAACTCCACAGGCGCAGCCCTTTTTGCCTCAAACAAGGAGTTCCAATCAGATTGCGGTGTAGAAGAAGGAGAGCCAGAAGTTCAAAGTATGATGTGTCATGCAGGAATGTACTGGGCTGAGCCTGCCCAGGACGGTTCAGACTCCCACCCCATCGCTGGAGAGTTCAGAGTTTCCAGGATGGGAGTCATGATTTTGAGCTGTGCAAGCTGACATTCAGCACTTACCAAAAGATCACGGCCCCTCTGCTTCTCCACTAGCCAGCACAATAAGCTCTGAACGCTGCTACACCTTGGATGTGTAGGATCAGCCCTTTGGCCTGCAGGATCCTGCTCTGTGGGTAGCAGGGGCAGGAGGAGCTGCCAGGCATGTGGTTGGCAGCAAGTCAGCATCTCTCCCCAAGCAAGGGAGCCCTTCACATTTTGCTGTCTGAGCAAGGGTCGTCTGTAGACACAGTACTCCATACAAATAGCCAATCTGAATGAGTAATTTCAGTTTTAAAGGGCTTGGAAATTAATCACTGGAATGAGGAGTGGGATTTTTGTCACCATTTTGGCATTTGTTATGCGGATCACTGCAAACAGTTTCAAGCATTTTAGGCAGTGAAATCCCTGACAGGCAACTTCGTGACAGCAAGCAGAGGCTAGATGGAAATGGGAAGATCACTCATTTTCACACTTTCCAATATCCAGGCATTAGAAGAGTTTCACAGCAACCTTCTTACAGATACAACCTGAACACACTGATTCCCAGTGAAAATTTTAATTCACTGCCAAGGCTAATAACATTCACCAGTGTCCAGGTTTCCAACAAAGATCAATAGCCAAGTGTTCAGAGGAGCTGGGCATGCAGGAGGCAAGGGAATAGCAGACACCCAGGATGCCCTTCCTGCAGGTTTAAACCAGGCCTACTTAAGGAGAATGCATCTCTGACAATCCTCTGAGACACACCAGGAGAGACCTCCCTGTTCAATTATCAGGATCAAGAGGACTATGAGCATGAACTGTGCCTGGGTGGAATACACCAAGACTCCACTGGCACCTATGCAGAAAGTACCGAGCCTGTCCAGTTAGTGCTTGAGCACTTACCTCATTTATTTCTATCCTTTGGCCAGCCAGGTCACACACATCACCTGAAAGCAAGAGAGACTGGGGTTATAGTCACAATCTCCAGCTAAGTACAGTCTCTGAGCCTCCTCTAACACAGGAACTAGTTAACAAGTTTTGAAGCTAAGATCATGTTTAAAAGTTTCAATAATCACACAATTTTTGACATGAAGACTAAGGACTGATGATTCTTATCAGTCTGCCCTCCTGTTAGACCATGGCAAATTCAAGAATCTCATCTTAACTACATATGAGTTTAGCCCCTGGGAATTGTAGCCAAGAGACCTTTAGATGCCTCCTTCTCAAAGGAAAATCCACACCTCCAGAATATCTTCCCAAGCAGAAGAACCAATTCATCCTTTCTGGCATGACCTTCCCAAATGCACCTGGGCAACACTCCCAAAGAAGTATATTCCAAGGAAGAAGGTAAACATTTAGAAGACAATAAGGAATTGATAACCTGCTTTATTTCTGCACATTTCCCATTCGTTTCTTGAACAGACATCCTATGTCTATGCTCTGTGGTGATATCCACTTTGGAAAAGTCTATTACAAGACATGAATAAACAGAGTGAACATTTCTCAAACTCTGATTTGTGCTACTAATCCTGGCTAGTACAATAGCACTGTTGTAAAAACAATGGTCTACAGATACAAGTGAAACAAGATTCATCGGAGGAAAACACTTATTTTATTGGAATAACTAATACCACTGAGAAAAAAAATGACAAGTTTTCCAGCACACTAGTCCATCAGCAGGTCTGACACAGGTACGACAAATAAGCTGTGACTAATTTCTCGGGGTGTGTGGGGGGATTGTGATTATATTAATCAATTAGCACTTCCTGAGGACTGTGGAGAAAACTGTTCTGGACCAGACGATGCATGAGCTTGTCAAGCCAATGATTATTAGGATCAAAGAGCTAGTAACTTTTGTTTCACATTTTTTCCAACTCTTGTCAACCTTCTCACTCTTCTAGCGAGTGAAGTAATAGTTACAGCTGCAAGACAAATAACTTAGCCACTGAATAGGCCTTGGTGTAAGGCTCAGCTACCCGAACAGGTTGTGAAAAAACACTGCCCATGACATGAAAAAATGGTGAATGCAAAAGATAACTGTGTGAGAAGCTGACACAAGTTAACAGAGCTGCAACGGATGGTGGATTTCACAAGAGGTTAAGAGGGAGTTCTAAGAGAAACAGCTGAATATCACAGACAGCCCGAAGGAAATACTGGGGACCCTTTGGGGGTAGCTTTACAAGGTTAACAATACCTAGTTAACAATATCAATAATATCATACAAGCCAGAGATCACCTACGCAGTATATACAACATATGTAGTAAAATTGGGACCAGTGGGGAAAAAGAAATTAGGGGCAGATACTGTATTTAGGAAGATACTAGGATAGAGAAAGGGAAGTACAAGGAGGGGGCTAAAAAGGAAAATCAGTGTTGAGGAAAATGATGTTAATATATGCAAATGATATAATCAGGACAGTTTAAGAATTACCACAAGGCAGTCTTGCACTTGATCACTGCAGCTGGAGTAAACAATAAGCCCAACCTCTTTTTCTGGCCAAAACACACAAGTCAAACAAAATTCTGTGGTCAGGAGAGCTAGAGGCACCAGCTGCTTTCCCTGGCAGAGGGGAACACCTTGACAGACATATCAAACATCCTGTCATCAGCATATCAGCTCCATTCCAAGCCTGATTCCACACATCAGCATTGTAATTCCCTCATCATAAAATTTAAGTGTGTCCCACTTCTTACAAGACTATCTCGCCTAGATATCATTTTGGTCTCTGTGGACTGAGGCATACAATGGAATACAACCCAGAGAATATGACAGATATCATACCGTAGGATTTCCCATTGATGGAGCACTTGTTGAAACACATGATATTCTGAGTGAGAGTTCCTGTTTTGTCTGAGAAGATATACTTGATTTGCCCCAGCTCTTCATTGAGTGTGGTGGTACGAGCCTGGGCCGGTGTGTCGTTCACTGGGTAATACATTTTACGATCCCAATCAATGTAGAAGCTGTTGCCTAAGCGTATAATCTCTACACTGGTGAAAGAGGAAAAGAAGACGATGAAATATTCAGTAGTTTAAGGAATAAAGTCTTTATCTTAAGTACTACCACTAGGAATTGCATTTAGAAGACAACTTTGAAATTAAAGGCAAGGAGTACTCTTCAGGTGGCTGAAAGACAGGAGCGTCTTAAAGAGTCTATACTAAGCACTGCTAAAAGTAAGTCCAGTTGAAATAAACAGTTAGGTTTGTGGCAAATTATTTATAAAATAACTTATATTGGAAAAGTTTCAGAAGTACACAAGAGACTTGAAACAACTGATGCTTTCTTTCAGCTTGTATTTGTTTCTGCCAAGGCCATCCCTCTGTTAAAAAAAAGCCTTATGCTGGACACTGCATTAAAAATACAACAAGCAGTCCTCCAAACCTTCATTAATGCCATGGTGAATGAACAGCAGCACTGCACACCAAATAGGCTGTGCATAGGCCATGTCTTTGGACCAAAGACCAATACGGCAGCAGCAGTGCTTCTTTTGGTGCACGTTAGCTCTCTTTGGTAATCAAACTAAAGATGTTTGCAGTGGACTTTGGGCTTGGCAGGGCTGGGTTGAGCTCTGAGACCTGAGTTTAAGTACAACCATGGCTGAAACAACCCAGGTTTCCAGAACAAGTGAGTCACTGTGTAATTTAATATAATCATGAAGCTTTATCAGCGCACAGACAACATGAATTTCCATTTTGTTGGCAGCGTGAAATACAAAACAAGAACAGAATGAACTTATTCCTTATTCTTATTTCCTAACATGAAAGAGAATCTCAGAATGCAACTTCCAAACTTCTAACCCTGAGCACAACTCTTCACCCCTCTCAGCAGCTTTTTCAATAGGGCATCACCAGCAGCTAAGAGCTTTGCAGTTTGACAACACAAACTACACAAATGATCTGTACAAATTTTACGCCGAGGATTCAGTCTGCAGTCAGTTGCAATGCTCCCCGAAGAGCTGGAGTCAAACAAAAAGCTACCCAGGTCAAATCAGTCTGCACTCCAGCACCCCCCATGGCAGCAAAAAGAACAACAACATCACTGTGGCGTGGAGTTTTCCAAAGAGATGATTTCAGATCCTGACAAATAAATGGGGAATTAAGGAAAATGAAAAAGTTAACTCCTTGTTCTTTAAAACCACATGGGGTTTATTCTTACTAGTCAAGAGCCACAAAGAAAGTAGTGGCTATCAGAGGTGCTCATGTGGTGATAGTGGCTCACAGGGCCTTGGCTGTATGTCATACCCACAACGTAATTCATTCACGCTTGGGAAAAGAGCTGCTTCCAACTAAGGTAAAAGTCAAAACTCCCCTAAGACAAAACATGAAATGAGGTTCAGACACGTACCTGACATAGAGCGAAATTGGCACCACTGTGTTTAGAATGATCACATATGACCAGAACATGAGGAAGGCAGAGTAGGGGGCAGAAGTGACACCTTCTGCCCAGGGCAGATAGACCTGGAAGTAGTAGCCCTTATCGTACTCCCAGATGCCATTGCCAATGGCTAGGATAAGACACATTAGTGCTAAAAATGCGAAGATCTGCAAAAAAACACATAGATACAGCATTTTAGAAATAGGAAGTTATTATGGACAGGTTAATCAAGAGATCCTAATCAGATTGGGTTGGACAGCCTGAATCATTTGGAAATGGTTCCTAGGTGAAGGAAGAAAAACAGCAAAAGTGTGTCAATTAAATTCAAAGACAGTATTATGCTATACAGTCTCTTTGGTGATTTGGAATCAGAAGGCATCAGAAGGCATATGGGAATATAAGTTCCAAGTAGGGCCCTAAAATGAGGTGCTTATGGGCACCTGGCTACAAAATGTCAAATGTGAACTGCATGATTTCAGCTGCTGCTTCTCAAACATGTGGTCGCATACTTGGGAACAGAAATCTCAATAAGCACCTTATCTGACTATTTGCTGGATGTATCATAGGCTAAAACGAAAGTTTTTTGTCATAGTTTCAGAAAAAAAAATACTAAAGGTAATTTTTAATACAGCAAGTCCTGTACTCCACAGGCTGAAATTCAGTATTGGATATCATTCTCATGGTCAAAGGAAAGTTAATCACTGACTGAGAACTAATGGTTGCCTTGGTACCTGCCATCACAATCTGATTACATTTCCTTTGAGCAAACAGAGAGCAGCACTAACCAGCGATGTGTATCTTTGGACTTTAAAGACGCATTTCATAAAACATTTCTTGGTTAGAAGAACATAGCAATACAATTATTTGGAAATGAACACAAAAAGCAGGGAAAGAAAGGAAGTTAAGAGAAGTTATAAATAGTCATAAACAGAGACATGTGAAAGTGTCATGTTCAACAGACATTTCTATTCCTCATTTGAAATATATATATATATCCCATATGATGTAGCAGATGGAAAAGAGTTTAACTTTTGCAATAAGGTACAACATGTCTAATAATAAACATTGCCAAAACAAAAGGTCCAGGTAATTTAAATCTATCAGTTTAAAGGAGCTGGATGAGAAATTCTCTTAACCAGTAGAGTTAATTTTTAACAGCGCTTGGAAAACTGGGAAGGTCCACTTTTCTGAAGTTTTGCCAACATAATTCCAACATTTGAAAGGTAGAATTGGTGACCGTGGGAAAGACAAACTGAAGTTTGAGTGATGTAATTCCTGGAGAAATGATGATAATTCTACTGTTATAGAATATTTGGACTTCTCCATTTGACTTAACATGACCAAAATCCTAATAAAAACATGAAGATATGGAATCACCTGGCAGCACAGTACAAGATTAAACATGATCTCTTGCAAGTGTGGTCATTAAAGAGGAGATGTCAGTAAATTGGGACATTATGTATAAGTCCACTCAGTAACAGTAGTTACAACACAGCTTAAAAAAATAATTGAGGTACAAACGGAGGAACTTTTGCTCATAAAGACTGCTGAGGGAAACTATGAGGGGAGGAAAGATAATTTTAGGGAGTGAATTAAATCACTTGATTAAAAGTTTGTACTCCACCAAAATTAGTTTAATATCAAGAAGATGATAAAGAAGGTTGTGCTAAGCAAAAGTGCTTGGATCATTCTCGGGAGGCCAATTTATTCCCACAGCAGTAGTAGCATTTCTATTAAATTCCATTAAAGTCCAATATATTATTCCGCTTATGAAAGAGAGACAACTAGTAAGGAATATGACGCGGTGCTTTTCAACCTCTGTGACTACAAGCATTGAAACAGACTACAAACTGCTGTTACAATCATGATGGTCTAGGGCTATAATAGATGCATGACCTGGGGATGGATAATGGACATAGACAAGCTTGTCCATTTTTCTAGAAATAAATAAAAGGTATTACTTCCCTCTGGATACCTAATCTATTCCAAGATAAATGAATTAGAAGAGTCAGCTGGCTCTTTTTTCATGACACACTAAAAGATTCCTGAACAAGGACCCACACGTTAAAATTTTTTTAGAATATCATCTTCTGTGAAGAAAATTCAGTGTGGAAACAAGTATGCATGTTGTGCATCTGCTGTCATCCAAAACCAGTTTGTTTTGTGTGTAACAGTTGGGCTTACACAATACTGCTAATACACTATTTACTTTCACACAAATGTGAAAGACTGAGCTGTTGACCCAACAGCAGCCCCAGAGATCAATCTCCATAAGGAGAAACAACTTGTACAGGCTGTTGTAATTATTACAACTGCCTCTGTAAGAGAAGGATGTGAACAAACCAGATCACAGTCCTGCACATGCTCATGGAGCTTCCCACTGTGAACATCCTCTCCCTCTCTCTGGAACTAGATCATCCTCTGCTGGAGAGCAGGGTTTTTCTGTGTGTGTGTGTGTTTTGTTTTGTTTTATTTTTATTGTTTTTTTTTAGAAAAAAAATGAGCTTTGACAGACATTTCATATCAGACAAAAACTGTTACAGTTTCTTTATTGGTTTATTGGCAATTTGAGCTCATTTCTTGGATATGAAGCTATAAGAGCCAACAGTGAAGCTCAATTTTTCTGAAAATGTGCTTGCCTGAGCCACAGAAAAAGTAAGTCTCAGGGCAAAATACATTCGTGGTGCTGGCGGGTGTGTCCT